TTAAAAAGTGGTCGCCCCTCAAGAATAATAGGTGAAATACCCAGAAATAAAATCCAGTGGAGGCACTTGCCCCCACTAGACCCCAGGTGTCTCTGCCCCTGCTTTTTGACATGCTTTGGTATGCTAGTATGAACAAAATTGACACAATGTTCTTCATATCTGTGTGTGTGTGTGTGTGTTTTGAACATAGTATGATTTTGTTCTCAAAATTTCAATACTTCTGACGTGTTTCGTATGCTATACTGAACTTGATCGTGCCAGACACTAGAAGGGATGAAAATGGATTACTGTTGAACCATATGTGCCTTTGGAGTCTTGACCGAATTAGACGTAATTGTCAGGCCAGTAGTGCTAATGAGGATCTAGCCAATGCAAATCTCCATCATCTTCATTAAATCTATTGCTGCACATTCTGGTTCTTAAACCTTTATGGTGTGCTGCTCTTTGTCCCAAAATGTAGTATTACAACTATTAAATGCTTGTTATCCATTCAAAATCTCTTGTATGGTAATTCCTTCTAGCATAATTTTTTTCTTTTTTATTTTTTTTTCCTGATGTGGAATTACAATCAATATCACATGGACCAATACCATAACTAAATATTACCAGTGAGTCAATTAAAATAAAATGAACCTACTAATAATGCTGTCTATGCAGTAGACGGAGAATTTCAAGCAAAGACTGATAAGTTAACTTGTCGAGGTGGGCTCAGAATCTGATCTCCCTAATGGCTTCTGGTATGGAGGATCAGAAAGACCAACTGGCTGAGTCCCTTGATGACCTTTTTACTAGTGTCTCAACCATGATCAAAGGAGAGCTTCAGGTAACTTGAATGGTGGAACACATTTGACATTGCTATAATCTTTTTTGAATATTACATAATTGGCGTGTTGTTATGTAAAAGATCTAGTAGTCATTGAAAATTTTGGATCTGCTTCTGAAAGACTGAAACAAATTTTGATTAATGTTCTTGAACTCTTTGGTGAATATGGATGATTGCTTATGGTAATATCCAAGAAAATCAATCTATAGTCATACATTAAATGGTGGAAATCAGTTACCAAGTAATAACTCTCAATTATTTTACCTTAACTCGGTTCATATGAATCTTGGAAACATGAGTAAGAGTATAATTAAAAGGACAAAATTAATTATTTTTAAGTAAATGTTTTCATATCACCAAAATGTAGAGCTCTGAACAATGTGATGAAAAAAGACTACAGCTACAAAGATTGATTTCGGATTCATGAACCGTTATGCCATTTTAATGAGTGAAAGACTTGTAAAAACTTCCATGATGAGGAATTGTTCAATGATTATGATGCTGCTGATCTATAGCTCTCACATTAAGGGTGATCTAATTTAAATTTGTGTGTGCTTTATTGGTTTGCCTTTATGTTATTTCTCTCTTTAATAGAGATGAAGACTTCATTCATAACAATGGTTTGTAATTTCACACAGATTTTTTTTATTCAACTTCTTTGTGATGTAGAAATCCTGGTTGTTATTCATCAGCTTGTGCAAGTGTTGACTGATGTCTGTTGCTGAACTTTTCATGTTTCAGGGAACAAACAATATACTTGAGCTCTTGGAGAAAATGAATGTAAGAGTAGCAGAAGAATACAAAGGCTTTGGTGATGTGGCGTCGGGATTAAGAGTATTTGTGGAGCAGTTGAAATCCAAAAGCAATAGCTTTGACGAGTATGTTCAGCAGATTGATGCTATAGAGAGGCAAGTTACAGAATTTGAAGCTGTGATTTCAATGCTTGATAAACATGTTTCATTACTAGAATCAAAAATGCAATCTGTTTACCAGATTCCACCATCATAAAACAGTTATGGTCATTC